GACAAGGAGTAGAGTCACCGGTCCAATATCGCGGATTTTCTCCAGGTCCTCCGTTAAATGGACGTTAAATCAATGAATTAAATATATCCATATATAAATATAGCCACCATATTTATAAAATTTGATTATCATATGCCATGCGAATCAATCAATAAATGAAACACATTTATTGCTTTAATATATTTCATTTATTTCCGCCACTAGAAGCAAACAGCATTAGGAAGTATTTACATTTCCGGTTGCAGGCCCCATCATATAATTTTTGTTATTCGAGTGTTCACAAGGTTTTTAACTATTATAGTGAGAACCGCCAGCTTTTTTTCTAATCTTCGATAATGCCTCTTTAATGGATATTATTGAAATTCAATAGGTTTCTTCATCTCCCTAATGTAAACATCATATATCAATTTCAAAACAATCAAATTTTGAACATTTCCATGTGGGCGTATAAAAATCTACCTGGAGATCATCTTCTGAATTTATTTGTTGTTCAAAGGGATGGACTTGTACAGAATAACAAATTGATGGGGTCATACCCATTGTTTAAAAACTTGCTACTGTGTCTATAGACATCGTCTGATATAATATATGTCATATGTTGAATTAACTTCCTTATTTAACAAACACATTTTCTCACAGTTATTTAATCTTTTAATCTTAATCCCACATATCAGATATCAGATGGTGAATAGTATGACATAAACTATATGCAATCACATAAAGTACCCTGTAGTTCGAAATCGTGTTTACACTGTAGTTCGAATGAACCATAGTTTTGTAAATAGGAGGTCGATCGTCAAATGAATATGAATTTTACGATATGTTAATTCCGAATTGACAGAGTTTCTCTTAAGCTGCGTTCACACTGGATGCATATTCAATGCGATTTCCCGAGACCGGCCTCCGGAATTCGGATTGGTTTGTCTCGGATTAAAAGCGGTGCGTCGCATTACAGCTTATTCGGATTGAATGCGCATAACTAACAGAAGAGAAGGTCATTCATATCCCAAGATCTTGCATCTTCGGCATCTTGCCATTGAGCGTCGGGTACGAATTCGTCTACACCAGAATCAAAAGCAAATGAGGATGATTACTCTTCTGGTCACGTTTGCTATGCATCAACAAGTATGTACATGCACTTCACTCTCGACTCTGTATTAGCGAAGATACATTTCATAATTAAAATTCTTTCAGTACTAAAAATGCATATTGCAAAGCAATGAATTTTGTTATCATTTTAATCGAACTCATACAACACATGCTAGAGACTGGATTCAAGATGTCTGGAATGTCTATAGGCCTTAAATGAACAGCCTTGATCTGAACACAACATATATTTGTATTTAGATTTTTAACGATACATTATGGGAGACTTTATTCTGAATTCAATTTAGATTAAACCTCCAACGTGAACGCACCTTTAAATGAATATATTGTCAACGCGCTTTAAATATCTGGTTGCAACAGACTTTGTGTAGAAACTTCAAGTTACATGAACATTTTGTCAATAATAAAGATCCAATTATAGTTGTTAGTTACACACTGTTAACCACCAATAGATACTTTAATGACACTAAATCATATAGATCGACTTTAGAATTAAAATAAATATATACAGTGGGCTTAACTTGAATAGAGATTATCTATGCTGCAAATATATCATCTTGCAGATGAATCACATAATATATTAAAGGGGATCACGTGGCTAAGTGGGTAAGACGCTGGCTCGCTAGCCTGGAGGTCGGGTGTTCGATCCCTGCTTTAGCGGGGAAAGTTCATCCAGATTTACCGACGTGGTTCCCCCTTGTCTTCTTTCCGCTTGTATTTCCATTATTACACAATAAACAGTCGGACTGTTATGTGCCCTCGGGGGGGGGGGGGGGTATCATGTTGGCTGTTCGATCCTTGCATTGGCCGAGAAAGTTCATCCACATTTTCCGGCGTGGTTTCCCTTTGTCAGTGATGCAGGACGGAGGGTCTGACAAGGACAGCTGTCTAGTCGTTCGGATGGGACGAAAACCCGAAGTCCCATGTACACATTGGCATGCACGTACAAGATCCCTTGACAGTTGGAAATGGATATAAATATAGACCGTAGTGCAGACTGTATGACGTATGCCCGTCTTCATTAGCCCAGTTTGAAGCGGAACAGTAGGATCTTAAACCCCGTTTCATTTCTTAATAAGATTGGTGTTGAAAAGTTAGTACGTATCTTAGACTAGACCACACCGAGAGAGAGAGAGAGAAATGGGGTTTAACGTCCACTCGACACAAACTAGGTCATTTCGGGACTAACATATGGTTTAATTTTTTATTTATTTCAATAATTCGCTTGCGCGTAGGGGTCTTTAGCAGTGGGGGGGGGGGGACCGGAGGACCCGGAGAAAACCCACGAGGTTGGACAGGCGACCCTACTCCTTGTCACGTACAACCGGGGATTCGAAACCACGCCAGTTGACTCAATGACAGACCTTATGATACAGCGCGCGCTAACCATTCGGCCATCCAACCGACCCCCCTCTAGACCACACCCTCAAATCAGTTATATACTGCAATATAATAGATTTCTCTGTATGACTTGAAATCGAACAACAATGTGGAAGGCATATTTACGTAGTATATACATCTATTATGAATGACATACTGTATAGAACACCAAATATAATATACATACAGCAGAGTTTAGACCATTATATGAAATCCTTCACAAGAAGATAACCAATGATAATTATACACATGCAAATTTACGCAGTTTGTACTTACATCTATTACGAATGTGATTACTGTTTGAACCATCGTAAATTTTAAACGTATTTCTTCGATTATAAACAAACTACTTAACTTTGGTTATTATAAAGTTAGCTGTGCGTTTGACCCCCCCCCCCCCCGCGACTAATACTCATTATGGGTTCTACAGTTTAATTATCGAGTAAAAAGGCTAAATGTTCTTGTCTACGATATCACCCTTGGTGGAAGTGGACGTAAAACTTCAGAAATGAACGGAAAGCTAAAAGATATCTTGAACGGTTTATGAGATATGCTCTGGATACAAAATTGTACACCAAAAACTAAGTCAAATTTGTTTCCATAGAAATACAAAAAATATAAATTCCAGAAATTCCTAAATAGCAAAAGGCACAACTAAGATAATAGGTTGATATTAGAAACATATCTTGAACGGTTTATGAGATATAAACAAAAAAACGGGACGGACGGAGAGGCCCAATTTCAATATCCCTCCCTAACTTCGTTCGGCACGTGATAATAAATCAACCTTGACTATGTTAAATGAATATCATTGTTAATAATAACAACAAGCCAACATCGAATTAGATAGATAGATAGATAGATAGATATTCTTTATTTCACAAACCGTACATAAATACAGTGTAGAAACAATAACATATTTACATCAACAACATAAATATAACATATATACACAGGTGTAAAGAAGGTATACCACCTTTGAGTAATAACCTTATTAATCCAGGTAAACTGTTCAATACACAAGAGTGTGTACAATTAAACAATTCGGTCGGAGGGGAGGGGGGACTTTGTATTATTACCTTAATTAATCCAGGTAAACTGTTCAGTACACAAGGGTGAGTACAATTAAACAATTCCCTAAGTAGAAAATAGAAGATATATACAATTTCCTTTTCTTTAAAATAACCGGACCCGCATAAATAAATAAATAAATAAATAGTGGAATTCATCGCCAGTTTCATTTAGTTTGCATAGTTATAGGTTTTATTTTCTCTTGGAATTTTCTTTCTATGGAGTTTTTAATGCAATTTCTAAATCTACATATTAGTTTAGATTTGTACATGTGTAGGACTGATAGATATTTTCCAAAATCAAGACAATGTTTAAATAGTCTATAATTTATACATGGTGGAGATGCTATGATTGTTAAAATTACAGTAACAGACTGAAAGCTTGAAATACGATCACCATTTAATAATTAAATTTAGTGAGTGGCTTAGAATATAAAAGTAATTTGAATAAAATTTTCAATTTTGAACAATTGTAACAGGGGTTGACAACTTTTTATTTAAATCTTTAAAGCGAAAGTAATTTGACATTCTATTTTTTAGCTTTACCAACCGTATAAAAACACGAGAAACGTACCCAAATATATTAAAATATTTGAAAAAAAATCCCCTAAAACCACTATTTATGTCTGATAAACTGTAAACGTTCAAATCGATATTTTTTTTAGGGTCAACGTACTAAATTATATATAATGAAGAATATTACTACAATTAACATATATTTATTATCAAGACTAATTATCATCGGATAGAACAAAATACCGAGGTCGGTCCCGTGTACACATTGGCTTGCACTTTAAAGAACCCCTGGCAGTTGGAATTCGATATAAGAATGGACGTCATAGCGCCGCTGTTCGGGCAAAAAGTCCACCATAGCACACTATATATTGATAAAGAATTCTAGTAGAAACGTTGCCCGGTAATAAACCGTTAAAGTATTCCATAGTTACACGTGATCGTGCAAGTCAATATACGTTTTTATGCATATAAGTTTTTTTTGTGATATAATTTAGCCTGTTTAGTAATATTCACCATATGTTTGGCGCAATATACCCCGGTTGGAGCTGAGGTGCCATAAAACCACATTTCATTTCATTTTATTTATTGAAAGGCGACCCCCATATTACAAGCTTACGCAATACGTATAAATAGACTGGTTTTTCCGTTACTATAGTATAGAATAGACTACGTTATCCAGACATCAATAAACACCCACTGAACAGACAATTGTATAGTATTCATTCAGATAGTTACAACACTATTTATTATATTGATATATTTAGGTTATCTTAAACACCAGGAATTTATTATATTCGTTTTAACAAGTCGGGGCTATATTCTTTATCGAGAATGGCTATTCATGGGTGTAGAAATATTATAATTATTTATCGTACTTGATCTAGCTCAACGTAAATAGTAGTGAGACAGGTTATACAAGACTAAAACTCGTCATTAATACACTACACATAGACTGTGTTTTTCCAATGGGTAAATTTTATAGAACCCCCTTGATCTAGTGTTATACAGTTCTGTTAGTCTTTAGTAAGGTTCTAAGGGAACTCTAGTGGAAGAAAGTTGTCATAGAATAATAAGCACAAGAAGAATGGCCACCCCAGTAAGTTCAACTACGTCACGTTTATAAAATAACACGTCAGTTTATGACGTCAATAACTAACCATCGTAATCTTGATAATGACTGTCTTATCTCTCGTAGAATACAAATACTGACGAGTGAGTACACGAAGCAGTGTATGTTTACTCCTATATTTGATACAACTAGTGTCTCTACATCTATGAGAGTCGTGTTGATGTAACAATTTACAAGCTCACTGGTTTAGATCATAAGGGCTGTCATAGAGTCACGTGGTGTGGTTCTGATCCGAGCATGTACCTGACAAGGAGTAGAGTCACCGGTCCAATCTCGCGGATTTTCTCCAGGTCCTCCGTTAAATGGACGTTAAACCCCAGTTCTTTCCCAGTGAGGAACTGTGTTATTGTCATTCCCCATATCACCTTTTTCTGTCTGTGTCCACAAGCCCTAACAACATCTTCAACACGACAGAAACAGAAAGTAGGGTTTTAGCATTGAACGGAATGGTGGTGTTGTTGTCCCACCTCCATCGATCAGCAGTGGCGTACAAGGAAAGGGGAAGGAGGTAGACGGACCAGGTCATGAAATCTGGTTAGATGGAAATTGGGGGTGGGGGGGAGGGGATCAAATATCCAATCAAAGAATGCGTAGACGGACCAGGTCATAGATTCTGGTAATATAGAGAGGTGTGTGTGCATGTGTGTGTGGGGGGGGGGCATCAAATATCCAATCAAAGAATATAAATTTGGCTTACAGTCCAACATGCTGGTGTGAATGCGAATCTGTGTTTTAAATAAACGAGACGAGAGTAGAGAACATGTTACATTAATTTGAATACAAAGATTAATTCATCTGTTTTTGTATATATTAAATATTTAAAATATCTTCTCGTCACCCATCTCTCAGTACTCGACCCTGTGTTTAAGTCAATGAGTTGTCCCCAGGCATCAACAAACTTCTGTACGCCACTGGTCAACCGAGAATCTCAAACTAGAGATTCAACGCATGCGCTTAATTTACAGCTCTCTTTCTGATATTTATATTCGTCGATGATTATCATATCTAAGAAGAGAGATATTGTTGTAATAATATTTACAAGTAGAGACTGGTTGTTTATTTATTTTCTATTCCAGATAGCAACCGTTAACAACAATACCTACTACATGTATAATATACATGGTGATTGTGAAGCTGTACAGATTGGAAGATCAAACACAATAAATGAAACTGGTAACCAGACCGACAGTGATGATTGCACATCCGATATGGAAGATGTGAGATTCCAGATCAATCGGATAACTGAAGAGATGGCTGAAAAATTTGAAAGAAAAGATGAAGAAATAGCTGAATTAAAAGACAGGGTGGCTGACCTGGAAGCATTTAAGAAGAAAGTAGAACAATCGGAAGTCAAGACAAACACCAACACTAATACTAGACGTTATGTCAGGGATACGAGTAATGATATTACTCTAAAGTTGGTATATGGCCCGTAAGTAAATGTGTTCATAATAATATATATTTTGACAACTGTCAAATTTTACATACTGTTACAAGAGTCTTGAGTTTTAACTTATATCGAATGATGAAGTTTCTATATCACGTGACTTGAATAATAACCAACTAGAGGTGACTTGAATAATATACTGACTAGTGAAACAGTGGGATGTACTTTACAATATCCATAGTCAAAATAGTATTATATATTTAATAGTGTATTTAATAATTAGGGCTCAAGACAATGATTTTATCAATAATTTATCATTTAAATAATTTATAATACTCGTGTTTCTAAGGTTTACAAAGATGATTATTGATAATGATATATTAACCTGTATTTATATCTATGGTGGCTGATTGGTAAGGAAATGAAATAAAATGAAATGGGGTTTAACGTCCAGCTGTTCTGCTCCGGGAGTCACAGTGGCTAAGTGATTAAGGCGCTGGCTCGCTGGCCTTGACGTCGCGGGTTCGCCACCGGTGTTGGTCGACAAAGTTCATCAATATTTTCCGGCGTGGTTTCCCGTTGTCAGGGATGCAGGAAGGAGGGCCTGACAAGGACAGCTATCTAGTCGTTCGGATGGGACAAAAAACCGAGGTCCTGTGTATATATTGGCGCGCACGGAAAAGATCCCTTGGCAATTGGAATTCGGTATAAGAGTAGGCCGTAGCGCGGCTGTCCGGGTAAAATATCCCTCATAACACACTGAATGGTATAAACCCGTCTTCATTAGCCCAGTCGGAGCAGAACAGTAGGATGTTAAACTCCGTTTCAACTAGTTTCATTCTGCTCCGACTGGGCTAATGAAGACGGACACGCCCTATACAGTGTAATGTGAGGGAAACTTTACCCGGATAGCGGCGCTACGACCTACTCTTATATTGAATTCAAACTGTCAGGGGGTCTTATACGTGCCCGCCAGTATGTAAATGGGGCCTCGGTTTTTCGTCCCATCCGAACTACTATACTACTGTCCCTTGCCAGCCCCCCCCCCCTCCGTCCTGCACCACTGTCAAAGAGGAATCTCTCCAGATATGTGGCTTAATGTCCTACTTTTCTGGTAGTCACGGTGACTCAGTGAATAAGACGATGGCTCGCTAACGTTGAGGTCTTGTGTTCAATCACTGCATTGGTCGAGAAAGCTCATCGGGGATAACGTATAGTCTTTTGGGTGGGACGAAAAATCGAAGTTCCGTGTACATATTAGCCAGCACGTAAAAGGCCCCCCTGACAGATAGAATTCAAGATAAGAGTAGGCCTTAGCGCTGCTATCCGGGCAAAGTTTCCCTCACAGTGCACTGTATAGCCTATGCCCGTCTTCATTAAGCAGAACAGTAGAACGTTAAACACAATTTCATTTCATTCAATTTTCCTACTTTTCTGCACCGATCGGGCTATTGAAGAGAGGCATGCGCAATGCAAAGTACTATGACGGAAATTTTCAATTTTCGAAATTCAACTGTGAAGGATTCTTTTATGTGCTCGCCAATTTGTACACAGGAGCTTGTTTTTTGTCCCATCTACACAACTAGACACTGTACTTTGTCAGACCCGTCGTCCTGCACTACCGACAGGGAGGATCCACGCTGCAAAATCCCGGGGAACTTTCTTGACCAACACCAGGATCAGTGTATATAATCATAGTATTGAGAGGAATATGTCCGATAACCCAACATCACAAAATGATACCAATCAGCCACCATATATATCAGTTGATAATGATATAATATATTAACCTGTACTTATATCAGTTGATAATGATATAATATATTAACCTGTATTTATATCAGTTGATAATGATATAATATATTAACCTGTATTTATAGATGTAAAGATATGGGTACTATAACTGTCAGTAAGAAAGTCAGTGTTAATGATTTAAAGAAGTTGATAGAAGAGAAGAAGAATGAGAAGAGTAGTGAGATTGGTATAATAGGATATAGAGATGGTAGTAGGACATGTATCTACAACAATGTTACCAACAAGAACGACTATAGCCTGGAACAACTTGGTGTTGTAGACCAGGACGAGGTTGTGTACTGGTTACAGTAAAATACAGTGATTATATTGATATGATGTATTGATGGGCTCCTTTATATTAAACAATGAGGTGTCGAGGGAGGGAGGGGGGGGGAAGATATTACTTATAGTAAAATATAATGGTCGAACCAGAACGAGGTTAGGTATTATTGTCTCTTGATTAGGTTGTGAGGGTGGAATAAAGTAAAATGTTGGAGTGGTGATATGGTTGGTGGTGGTGGTGGGTGGGTGCTATGTTAGTGGTGTGTCGTGTCGTGTTGTGTTAGTGACGTGTTAGTGGTGTGATGTGTAGTGTGGTGTGGTGTTGTGCGAGGTGTGTGGTGGGTGTTGTGTGTGCTATATTAGTGAAGAGTATTATCAAACAAACCAGCACCCTAGTATTTAACCAAGTATCTTATACCCCACCCCACCCTGATTGATATATTGAATCTTACTCTAAGTAATATCTTACCTGTCCCACCTGTCTTACCTGTCCCACCTGATTGATATATTGAATCTTACTCTAAGTAATATCTAACATCCTAATATAAAACTAGCTTACTACTGTAAATAAAGCTGTAATTCAATAGTCACGATTATCAGGTGATATGTAGTCGTGATCATGTGATAACTAACTGACATATATATAATATATAATTATATTAGTGAAACAATGTTTTATGCTTTTTATTCTAATTTTGTTTCAATAAAATATTTTATAACTAAACTAATGTCGTTCTACTAATATTTCTATGGTGTCAGGAAATGAGTTAGTTACCACTAACAGAGGGGGTCAGTCTGTGGTATCATGAAAGACTCGATAACGCTTTCAACATGTGTCTAGTCATACGAATGGGACGAAAAAAGAAAATCTATCTTGAAGAAATAATTCTAGGAACAGTTGGCTGCAATGGGCAATTAATACAGGGTGACGTACACAATATGTTTCTAGTCATTCGAATGGGACGTGCAAAAAAAAAACCCCAATCAAATACAGATTACAGATGCTTTACGCACGACCAAAGGACTTTCTCGTTGATTAAAATAAATACGCAAATACAATCTGTATCTAATCTAGATTAAATGAGTTTTTAGTGGTGACTTGAAAATTGTGAATCTTTAAGATCCTTTAATTTTTAATGGCGGAGGGGTTGAATGGACGAATGGTTAGTGCGTGCGCGTTGTATCAATAATGTTTGTCATATTGAGTCAACTGGCGTGGGTTCGATTCCCAGGTTGTACGCGATAAGGAGTAGGGTCGCCTGTCCAACCTCGTTGGTTTTCTCCGGGTCCTCCGGTTTCATCTTACTTCAAAAGACCCCTACGCGCAAGCAAATTATTGAAAAAAAACTGAACCATGTTAGTCCCGAAATGACAATGTTTGTGTCGAGAGGACCTCTCTCTCTCTCTCTGGCAACAAATTCCAAACGTTTTAGTTTTTTTTTTTAGTTTTTTTTTATTTATTTAATTCACAAAAATATTGCACACATACAAAATTAAAACAATAAAAGTTACATCAGTTTAAAGTCACCATCTAATTAAATTTGATATTGATTTTATCATTAATTTCTATATAGGAATTCATTGAAAATAGTAATAAATATTTATGTCGATTACTGTGCTTTGACATATACTGATACAAGTAATTCATGTGTTTAGTTAGAAGTGTTTTAAATAATTTACACAAATTTACCCTGGTGGCTTCATTTAAAAACAAAATTCTCCGTTTGATAATAGCTAATCTAGCAAACGAGAAAATAAAAATTAAAAACAGATTATTGGCTTCATTTCGCACAGGATAACCAAACAGTAACCACTGACGAAAATCATCTAGTCCAAAACCCGAGGATTGGAAAAACACCTCTATAAAATCTAAAATATATTCATGCAAATTCTTAACAGATTTGCAATCTAGAATTATATGCTCTAAATTTTCAATAGAATCTTTATCACAGAATTTACAATAAGGATTATTTATTTTACCAATATTATGAAGCTTCTCATTAGTCCAAATGATGTTATGAACAATTCTATAATCATTATCTAACGATTCTGAACTTTTATTCATAGCAAAAACAGACTTCCATACCACTGGCCAGTTGATGTCGTACCCTCGGTGCTGCCAATAAGATTCGCAGACAGGGGGTTCAAAATACTTATCCCTTATAGACCGAAGACGTACTTAATTGATAGATAGCATAGATGTTATCATTCATAATCAGTTCAAAATCTAATTCATAGCGTATAATATCACTCTTAGAGCGAATTATTTTAGTCCAGGACACTGGCAAACATTTAAGAATCAAATTATACTGATTTTCAATTTTCTCATATTTACAATCTGGTAACGATTCTCTAGCCATTTCAAATATAGCGTCAACTGATAAAAATCCTGGGATAAAAATATAACATAGATCAGAAATTTTGACTAAACCGGCTTCTATAAAATCACAGAAATATAAAGTTTTATCATCATATACAATCTGTGGATTATCAAATAATGGTTGATTGAGGATGTCATTATAATTATCAGCAACTGGCCTTTTACCATTATGAAAGTCATCCCACGAAATCAGCATAGATCTATAAAAAGATGGCAACACCTTTAAAGCAGGTTTAGAATAGTTAATAAATAATAATTCAAATGAACACAAATAATTTTTATAAAGTTTTAAAAAATAAGTCATAAAATATTTCCAGATAAAATTATCTGGACAGGATAAATATTTAGATAGCCAGTATAACCTAAATGCTTTCTGTTTTAAAATAACAGAATTCAGATTAAGACCCCCAACATCAGTACTACCTAAAATAGAAGTCCTCTTAATAAGGGGTGGTTTACCATTCCAAATAAAGGATCTAATAGATTTTTCAATACGATCCTGAGCCCATAGTGGAATTTCTACAACTCTTAATAGATACCATAAAGTTGATAGACACATGATGTTGACAATTAAAACTTTACCACGTAACTGAAGCCCTCTCTGCCTCCAGAGATCAAGTATTCTGCCAATTTTATTAACCTTGGAATCCCAATTTGATCGTTCACACATTGCTTCATCCGGACCCAAATACACACCGAGAAACTTTGCCGCTCCATGTAAAACTTTAACAGGTAAAGAGTCAGGATTTGAAACAGAGGCACTGCCCGCTAATAAGAGCTCAGATTTCTCGGCGTTAATTTTGGCTCCCGAAGCCGAACAATAAACTCCAACTGTGGATAGAGCTTCATTTACAGAATCTAAATTAGATAAAGACAAAGTTGTGTCATCAGCGTGTTGAAACACGGTTGAATTATAATCACATCCTGGAACAGCAAAACCCTTGATATTCTCATTAGACTTAATAAGTAAATTTAATGGAACTGAGGTTAATACATATAACAAGGCCGAAATTCCACATCCTTGGCGAACAGAGCGAAGGATAGGGAATGATAAAGAGACATGCCCGTTTACCTTTACCGAACTTCTAATGTCTTTATACAAGATTTTAATAGAATTGATAAATTTCTCACCAAATCCAAATTTATGTAATAAATTGAACATATAATCATGAGAAACCCTGTCAAATGCTTTCTCGGCATCTAATTTCAAAAGATACAGAGGAAGGTCTTCAAGTTCAGCAAAGGAAATAAGGTCACGTATGTTAAGAATATTGGTAGCAATATCCCTGCCTGGAACACAACAAGACTGATCAGTCGATACAAGATCAGCTACTACTGTTTTTAATCTAAGAGCTAGTGTCCTGAAGAAGATCTTGTTATCAACATTTAAGAGACTTATGGGTCGCCAATTACGTAATTCATCTTTATTACCACGCTTTTTGAAAAATAACGAAATTGTCCCTCTCTTCATGGAATTACTGAGCTCTCCCATCTCCTGTATATTAGAAATAACTTGAAAATAATATTTTCCTAAAATGTCCCAAAAATGCAAATAAAATTCGACAGTAATTCCGTCCGGACCGGGAGATTTCCCTTTCTTCATGCCCTTTAAAGAATTGTACAATTCATGAATGGAAATATCAGAGTCACAATATTTAGATTTAGCTTCATCTAACTGATCAGTAATTAAATCAAATAACTTATTTTGATTGGCCTCATTAATTGGTTCATTCGTATATAGTTTTGTATAAAATTTAACACATTCTTCAAGAATTTCAGGAGTTGAATTGACAAAAGAACCGTCAGATCTTTTCAAAGTCTTAACAATATTACTCTCCTGTTTAAATTTTTCTAAATTAAGAAAATAACGTGAGCATTTGTCTGTATCGAGGATGACGGGTTTTTGATCTAAGTATAGCCCCGTCACATATCTGTTTTTCATATTTTTCAAGTTTATTCTTTAGTTCATAAATTTGGGTATAGTCGTAATTTTTAACTGTATTGGCTTTAGTATAATGAAAATTTAATGCAGTCTGAATCTGCCAGAAATCGTCCTGCTCTTGTTTTCTCCTTTTCTGGGCATGTAAAATACTAAATTGTTTTATACGGTATTTCAAATTGTCCCACCATACTAATTGTTCAGTTTTATATAAAGGACAGGAAAGGGATTTACTAATTAATGATTTGACACCTTCACAATATTCATGTTCTTTAAGATACTTGTTGTTAAAGATCCACAATCCAGGCCCTTTATCATAGTTGTTAAAATTGAGAATTGCAGTAACGAAACTATGATCACTAGTTGTAGTATGGGATATAAAACAATAAGATATAAACATCAGAATCGATGACGTGGTAAATATATAGTCCAATCGAGACTGCTTCAACACACCTTGTACGAATTGTTGACGCGTAAAAGTATCTTTGCCTGGGTTTTTCCTTCGCCAAATGTCAAACAAATTATTAGTAAACGCAAAATCAAAGAGATCCTTGGTTGATCCACCATAAGCAGACATATTTTTAGATCGATCAGCAAACCCGTTCATGACGTCATTAAAATCACCACAAACAATAGAATTTTCAGATATTCTGCCACCAATTTGATCAAAGAACTCTCTCCTATCTTTTTGAATATTAGGGGCATAAATACATATAAGTTTGAAGGTACACTCATTAATTTCAACATCACATTCAAGATATCGACTATCATCGTCAGAGTAAACAAAATTACAGTTTTCAGAGTATTTTTTAGACACAAATAAAGCGCAGCCTTTAAAACCATGCAGACTATTTGAAAAATAAATATCACCACTCCAAAGATGTTTATAAGAATTAATAAAATTGTCATCCCAATGAGTTTCTTGAACGCACACAAAATCTAAACTTTTGCTCTGAAAATTAGCTATTAAATTACTGAATTTATTCACGTTCGTAAGTCCATTGACATTAATTGTAGCTACTTTAACCATTAAAATATAAAGTGAGAAAAAGGTTAACATGATTTTATCTTAAATATTTTATTTTGATTTATTCTTAAGGGCACTTTCAATCGAAACTTTCATACGATCACCCACAAGAGGATTTATGACCCCTTTCTTAATTTTACCAATTTTACTTTTTAAGGGATTATAAGCAACAGATTGCCTATTGCGCCGAGGATATGGTGACTTGCGTTCTGTTGAATCCCCAATAGACACCTGACTATAATAAGAATCTTCTATCTCAAATTCATTATCATCTTCAACCGTTTTATCAACATCAACTTCAGTTTCACTTATTGGCCTATCATCTAAGTGGCAAAAACCATTAGCAACTTGATCAACATCTGAATTTAATTTATCCCA